GAAAGAACCTGAAAGAGAAGAACAGTAGGGGACAGGCATTAATAAAGGAAATATGGATAAAAATTGGGATAGTTTAAGGGACGGGGGAGGGAAGGGTATACAAGAAACCTAGGGAATAAAGGGAAAGAAGGAGCTCAAGAGAGGGAGGACCATAGGAGAAGGGTATTACTAAGGGAGAAAGGGGGGAAATGAGGGCACTTTAACTGGGAAAACCATCATGGAGGGGTTAGACAATATGAGAGATAAATAATGCCTAGCTAGTTTTGAAAACCAGAGGGAACCATATTAGTCCTACACCCTACTGACAAATTATACATAGCAGATCAAAAAATATATGTCTAGGTAAGGTTTATCTGAGAACAACTGGTCTTTGCCTAGATTTATCTACACGACACCCAGTCATTAAAAAGACCAGACTGGTGGGAATAAATTTCTTGGATGTTTAACAGACATACATTGAGGCCTATACTAATTTGGTCAGAGGGACAGAAAGGACAGTTTTTGCTCATTGCTCTCCTAGGTTGACTAGTTACAGGGGGCTATGAGGATCTCCCAAAATGTCCTGTAATTGTGATGGGTCACCTGTCCTCTTGATCAAGAGCCCATGTGACCCCTGAGGAACAGATCCTCAAACGGCCTTAAGAGTAAAAATAAATAGGTTTTTCTGGGCCAACTGTATGGCCTTAAACACCCAAAAGGAAAGTATAACCAAAGATTAAAGGGGCCAATATAATTTTTTAAGAGTCCATATGTATAGCTAAAGGTGCTATAACAAGCCACAAGCCAGAAAGGAGATACCTTCTTTCGAGTTGTTGGCCAGGGTAGCCAAAGGGACTCCCAGATAGTAACCCAGCATAGAACTGGGAAAATAAACAGCAGACCCCAATCTTATCTAAAAGAAATATTGACAATTGATTGCTGCTATATGAATAACAGCTGACTTTCCAAAACAAAGACCTGTAGATAGGCTGACTAGATTCACCAGATGGACCAGTGGGGAATGTCTGGGGGTGCCAACAACACAGCGGACAGTAGCAGGGATAACAGAGTATGAGGACTTTAGTGGAGGGAGGAAGGCTATGGGAGGGTGCCATCTGGGAAGTGAGTGTATTGTTGAGTAAGACTGTTTGGGATTTTCTGTGTGATATACACACACAGAAAAACAAAAAACAAATTTTTAAAAATGTATTATATTTGAGGAGGAAGCATGGAAATTTATGTCATGTTAATTAGTAGAGGTGATGAACATTACCATTGAAATCTACCCGATGACTTTATAGACATACACAGGCACCGAGGATCCGAGTGCAACCAATTATGACTAGTAATAATCAGATGCATACAGATTAGAGATTCATGCACCAACATCTCAGTGTTAGTAACAAAAACAGTGAGTCTTTCTGTTAGGAACAGTATATTTTAGAATGAAATGGAGATCTCTTTTGAGGGTTAAAAACTCATTCAATTTTATGTCTAACAGGGCTTATACTGAGTTCAATATTGTATAACTATTTTAATTCAACTGTGAACCTAGAAACTTACAGCCACTTGTGAA